CACAGCATGTAAATTTGCTACGTTTTGATGGCCTACATAATGAGCTATAATAAGCTTATAATCAGTAGCGCAGTGAGCAAAAACTTTAGGGGGGCAACAACAAAAATCCGCAACACCAGGTGGCATGATGGGCTATTGTTTTTAAAGGGATGAAGGGAATGCATGCGTAAATTGACGATAACGGTAAAGATGTGGGTCTACAAACTATGTTTTAGCTATGGCGTACTGTTTTTTGTGATGTTGATTATTCATGACGCTAGAGTATTTTGCATCTACCCTCTATAACAAATGATTTGATTGCTTACATTAATGTTCGTCATATTTTGAGCAATGAGATGATAAGTTAATATCCCACCCATTATCCAGGGGTGCTGGAGCGTCTTACAAAGTGGAGGGGGCACCAACAAAAAAGGGGCGTTTTCTGTAAAAAGGGGCACCTACAAAGGGAAACCTCAAAGTGAAAATAAGATTTTTTTTTAGACATTGGTATATACCCCTACATTGTGATTACATTATCAGGGATGAGTTTGTTTCTCTCTTTACATGGTGCAAGATACTGATTAAGCATCATACTTTGCAGTTCGGTATGATGGTCTGGAGATATTTATATGCAAGCGAGCGATCAAAAATGTTAAGATTCATGAGGTACAAGCAGTGCGAAAACTACATGTTATAAAGAAGAAAAAAAAAACAAACATTATGGTGGGGTTTTAAGCACAATCTAATCATGAGAGACCGAAAAGATATTTAACAAGAAACATAGTTATATCAACTTTTAATGCGACCGAGCTTTAGGCGAAATTAATTTTTTTTAAATGCTATTAGTAGCTTTAAATTAAGATTAGCATATTTCATGGTAAAAGGAAAAAGGGGCACATATCCAAAAAGAAAATGACACTTATTAGAAAAGAAAAGGTGCACGTGTCAAAGTAAAAAAAAAGAAAAAAAGGGGGGAATAATCAGAGGTAAAAATGAGGCACTTCTCGCACCTGATGAGGGGCACGCACCAGAGATGAAAAAAGGCATTTACAGTGAGAACGGAAAGGGGGCACTAATTGTAAAGGAGAATTAGGGCACTACTATCAGAGAAAATGGCACTAGTTAGGAAGGGAAAAGGGGCACGTGTCAAAATAACAAGGGCACGTAAAAGAGATGGGGCACTTACTACATATTTAAAGGGGGCTATCTCAAATTTGAATAAGGGCACTCGCCGGAAATGAAAAAGGGGCACTTATAAGAATAAAAAGAGGCGCTTGTCAAAATATAAGGGACACCTCTCAGATTTGAAGAGAGGCAATTGTAAAATGTTAATGGGCAGAAGAAAAGGGGATGGAAAGAGAAAGAATCCTAAAAATAGTCATTTATGACATGTAACTGTACATATGTATATATATAAATAATTCATAAAATAGTGTGTGGCAAAAATAGTCAACTGTGACTGATTGCTAAACAAAATCAAATCAAGAAGAAGAAGAAGGGCACTTATCAAAGGTGGTAAGGGGCACATCTTGAACCTAAAAATGGGCACTCACCTGAGATCAATAGGGGTACTTATTAAATTGGAAGTTAGCACTTGTCGTAGAAAAGGGGCACCTATGAGATCAATAGAGGTATTTATCAGGGGTGTGAGTAGGGGCATTTATGCGAAGGGGGAGATGGCTCTTATTTAAAAAATGGGCATTTATCAAAAGGTAAAAGGGCACTTACTAAAAAGGAAAAGAGGGAGCATGTGTCAAACTAAAAGGGGCACTTATAACAGATGCGAAGGGGCACTCATCAAAGATAAAAAAAGGGGGCACTTATCTGAAGAGGAAGGGGCACTTAACAAAGTTGGTACGAGGTACTTATAAGAATGTGGAGCGGTCTCCTATTTGAATTTAAAAAAGGAGCGCTTATCTGAAGTAAAAGGGTGCACCTTTCCTATGTGAAAAGAGGGCACTTTAGGTTTTTTTTGCCTTACTATGAAATTTTGATTTTGTCATTTTCCAACAAACGCATAAAAAGTATTAATTACACAACAGTGAGCCCCCTAATTTTGAGTATGCCAGTGCTTAAAACTATGTTGATGAAGGCGATGACGGCAATTGTAATAATAGATCCAAATTTGTAGTCATATACATAACATATAACAATTCAAGAATAAAATGCAAATAAAATTTCATACATTTTAGAGGCGAACAAAAAGAAATCCCAGACATACCAGCTAATGTTTTAAAATAAATTTACAAATTTGCAATTCTAATACCCAAATATTAATTAAATAGATGTAGCAGTCATTAATTACATATGAGTTCCGTGACCTTCAGCGATAAAGTGTTTGATACCTACTGAATAACAATGATGCAATCATTTTTATTCTGTTAATGTAGAATTTAGATATTAAAATATGTTATAAAAATCTGTTATACAAAGAAGCAAAAGATTACCTTTGAATTCTATGAATTTCAAAAGGGCATGAGATTTATAGGATGGTATGAAAATGCATGTTTGAGCAAAGTATAGCTTAAAGGGGAAAACGTTGTAGTGTGAAAAGGGCACACTATAAAAGGAACATCAGATAGCTTTGAAAATGAGCACGATTATATTATTTTTTTAAAGGGGCATAGTTCGTTCATATAATATTTGGGCATTGTACCCCCTGCCCCCTCGGATAATACATTTTATTGTGGTTTTAGAAGGGTACCTGTTACTACAAAAAGCTGGTTCGATTCTTTGAAACTAGATGGCCCTTTAAATTACCGCAAAGGGGCACAATTTGTAAGCAACAGTGGGAAATATAGATACAAGGGGTACTTAATATGAGGGCACTTCCATCAAAGTTAACTAGGGAACTTATATTTTATATTCTTTTACTTATATATCTAAAAGAGCACTTATCAGAGCTGAAAACGGATATTTCTTATATTTAAAAGGGGGCACTCATCGACTCATCAGAAATGTAAAGGGACACACCATTGAAGGGGTAAATGCAATTATTACAAACTAAGAGAGACATTTTTTAGAGGTAAACCGCCCACAAGGAGCACATGAAAAGACGCATTTATAAGAAAGAAATGGGTGCATTTTATTACAAAGGAAAAGTAATCTTGTCAAAGACAAAGTAAAACGGACAACTTACTATTGGATAAGAATAGGAAAACTTATCCGAGGGGAAAAGGGAAACTAAAAACACACAAGGTTTACTAACCTCAAAGATTTAGTGCGCACAAGAAACAAAAAATGCTTCCGACCTCTGGCTTGGAACTCTCTGCTCTGAGTGAGATCAATTCAAACGTTCAAAGACTACCAACGGCAAGGGAGAGCATGCATATTTTTTGTGTACGAACATAACATTTATTCTTTTGTATACCAAGAAGTTTTAAGAGGAGGAGTCCTATCTAGTAGCTCATTCCCTTTGTACCATCTTCGATGCCGCTAGGAAATATATGTCAGGCATGTGCTTAACTGGATCTTGCTTGCAGATAGGTAGACAAAAGATTCCTGCCTAGCTGCAAACTAACGGGCCACTTTCAAAGGGAAATATGCTTTGTAATGATAATCACTTTTCGCTTACACTCGTCTGATAATACGAGCAGTACACAGCTTACCTTTGCAGGGGTGAGGCAAGCGAAAGGAAATGGAGCAAAATTTCCTGAAATATTAATCAAAATTACTCGACTGGGCCATGTGTGGGCACTAATCTGACATATATTATACTGTACATGAACAAATTCACTTTTTTATTTTTGTGAGTCGGAAGTAATCGGAAAAGTGTCAAATTGCAGGTTTAAGGACTGTAACATTTTACTATTTTGCACAAATTAAAGCTGCTATCATACAATGTAAGCAAATTTCTTGACACAATTTATTAAACTTCTCTATTCATATTTTATCATGTGTTCGATTTTCTCCTTGTTAGTTCAAATAAAGAATGAAATTAAGGGTATTTCTTTGTGACTACTCAATTAAGCTTCCCAATGATAATTATTGGCGGCTTCGAACCTTGGACATCAAAGGTAACAGCACACCAGTAGATTCTATTGTGCAACCAACCAAAGAAAACGGCAGCTGCTTGGAATGATTTGTTGCCAGTTGGGTCTCCAGCTCTTAAAGCCCATCTGAACTAGATTACAGGAGGGATTAGACCAACCTGCAAGATCACTGACAGTTGGTTATCTCATCAAATCAACTCACTTAAGAAAAAGAGGATCACGGGGGACCAATGGTCACCGATTAGGCATTGTTTGCTGTATAGAGGGCACTTAGCTTTAAGTAGTGGTGGGCCTTAAAAACTCCTTGTTCGTACGAATACATTTTTTCTCGTAAAGCAAAATTTCTAGTACGCACAAATATTTCATTTCCAACAGAAAGGTAAACAAAGATATTACATTTTTTTTCATACATAGGTCGAATTCATTTTTTCAGGAAACTATACAAATAAACTTTGCACATAATAAAATTATTACAAGAAATTCTTAATTTCTGAGGAAACGTGGGGGGGGGGGGGATCCACTAAAAAGCAGTGCTTGCAGTTTCAATGGATCCCCCAGAAAGGCCTGTTAGATCGCATATATTGGTTTTGGCTTCCAGAATACTTTGGCATATAGTCTATTGACGCATGTAAATTATCTATTGGTACATTTATATTGTCCAATATAATTTTGTGTTTAACATATTTTTTTCGTTGCACACATTTTTTTTGTTTAGTCTACATATATTTTATAACTAGACCTATATCGCATAAATTAATAAGGCATGCATGTATTTAAAAAACATCGAATATATTTTGATAAAGCAGATATCATTGTATAAAATACATCGCATATATTACACATATATCGCATATGAATTTCTTTATAAACATTGAATATATTTCGATAATGACCCGTATATTTCTCAAGGATCGAATATATTGAATTGTTTCCCCTATGGCTTGCCATAGTCGCGAGTCGGTAAACACGGTTAAAAAGTTTTTAAGAAAACCCTCGAGCCTATAGCTTAGTCAGGCCTAGATCATCATTCTCAGCGGAACAACCGTCGCGTCGCATCAGAGACTGACGCTGAACTGGCTGAACATTTCATTTGAAGCTTACAGTCTAACTCTGGCGTTAATATGGGTTCCGTAGAGCAATTTGGGTGTGGATTTTTTGAAAATACTACGACAGATCATTTAGGTATGTTACAATGTGTGTGCTTTCGCCATGAAGGTTTCTGCCATGGGGCTGTTATGCACTAGTCTATTGGAGACCAATTTGGATAGCCTAGGTAAATGTGATCTTTTGATGGGCTGATTAGATTTTTGTTTCATGATTTATATTGGATGAGAAGAATGACATTGTTATCTTTCATTTCATACTAAATTTTTTATGATTTATGTTTTCGGCAGTTTGTTTTGCTGCACTGTTTCACAAGAGCCGTGTTTAGTGCCATTCTGTACCCTGATCCCACCTACAGCCAGGATTTGAAAAAAAGTATCTAGGATGATTGGTTAACATGTGAATTTGCTTTTGGTGAAATTTCAGCAAAATCTATCGTCTTCGATTAGAAATATGTTTTTTGGGGTGAGGAATGTGAAAATGTCATGCAAAAATGACGGCCCGATTAGCGGTTTTTGTGTATTTAGTATTTACATACATTTTGGGGCGATTTTATGTAATGAAATGGAATCTTTTGGTCACATTTGAGATCACAACTTTTGGTTTAAAAACAAAGGAAAACAAAGCAATTAAATACATGATTTCCAGGCGTTTAAAATTGGCATAACTTTCTTATTACTGGGGCTATTACGATGAATGAGGCATCAAATAAAAGGTCTTATCAAGCTCTGTCTAATGGCATAAAGCAAGAGCTTGAATTCTGAGATTTAATTTTTTTGTAACATCCCTAGATCATTGTCAGCATGGAGAACAAAGTAGAGACGAACAAGAATTTAATGCCAAAATTCACTTTGAACGGCGAGGCGGGATGAATAACCCCGACGTATTCGGTCATTATAAAACAAATGCTGCAGATGTATATTTCACATACCCGGTAAGTGGACGTTCAGACTATTTATAATCTAAGATAGAATATGAATACTATTCTAGATGTCTAGTGTATCGACTGCTCTCGGGAAGTCGCTCAGATCCTGCCATGCCATGACCCGGAGTCGGGCTAACTAGCCCCACGGGACATCTCGCCCCAGCCTCAAAGACTGGGGCGAGATGTCCCGACAAATTTAATCGATCTTGAGTCTAGAGGGAGTTGGGCTAACTCGGCCCATGGGACTACTCGGCCCAGCTGGAAAAACTTGGCCGAGATGTCCCGACCTGATTAATCGATCAAGAGATACCAATGTGTATGTTTGTGCTCATTGTGACTTAATAATGCCCTTTCCAACCACAATCTTTAATGGAATTGTGTTAAATGATACTAATGAAGACAATCTATAACTTTTCTTTAGGTAAAATGACCAAAAAAAAATGACATTTCGGACAATTTACTCACAGCTCGCAATCTGCATTGCCGCACGTACATTAAATGTGCGTTGTATCTACTCGGACCACTGAAAGTCGAGCAGTGTTTTTGTCAGTAAATCACTGCAAAAATATCATTTTTATCTCGTATGAAGGTCTATTTTTTATTCCTGACACAAATTTCATTATTGAGAAGTAGAATATAGTATATTTTAGACGAGATGGTTGATGTTTGTTCACATTTTTTCGTCCTGGCCGTAAATTAGCAGACTACTGCCTAGTGCTACCGCAGCAGCTCAGCTCAGTGTGCAGCTAGCCGTACAGCGCCGCCGGCCGGGTTGGCGGGGGAATTCACTGACTCGGCGCCCGTACCGGGTCGCTGCACTGCATTGCATGATTGTACTGCCCAATTTGATCGAGTGATGTGAGTATAACTAATCGAATATTCAACTAATCAAACTAGATCTATATCTACTGTATTATCATTATTCATTCCGAGTAGAATATCCAATTCGATTTAGTGAGTAAACTAGACCTAGGTCTAGATCTATATCTACTGTAGCTAGATCTATATCATTATCATATAGGTCTAGATCTACTTATACTTATCATAATCAGATAATCATATTTTACTCCTAAAAGTTAAAGACTTGATAAATAGCTAGATCTAACGTAAGGGCCTAGCCTAGTACTCTAAGCAGAGAAGTGAGCTGACGAATCGCCTTCTTATTTTTTTGGAGGGGGCTGCCTCAAAAAAATTCGACGAAAAGAAGGTATTGGTTTCAAGTTTTTGTATAAATAATGCAGCCCCCACCACCCCCCCCCCCCAAACAAACAAACCAAAAAATCTCCTTTTTGTTCCCTTTTTCTGGGAATCAAAGAGATATATACAAAGCAAAGCAATGATATTGCAATGGCGTGCCGGTGCATGGAGGGGCAGGGGGATCTTAATTCTCGTAAGCCTTCAGTCTCCTGGACCTTTGGTCAACTTGTCATTAACCGTTTCTCAAATTTCTAAAAGACAGCTGCCCCCCCCCCCACCTCCCATCCATCTCGGCCGGGTATGTAATCAGCAACAGAGGCGAAGATCTATGAGCAAAATCAATTTTTTTTGGGGGGGGGGGGAGGGGGGGGGGGGGGGCTGGGGGTTAACAGATTTATATTTGATATATTATGTACCTGTATAAATATGTATACTATAAATAAATAATAAATAAAAAAAACAAATTTGCATTACCACAACGTGGCATAAAATTAATACACTATTACACCTGCTTATCATTTGTTATTATGAGTCTGCTTGATGTCAATTGTTGGAATTTGTATCTTTGAGTCATAAACAAATAATGTTTATTGCTATGTATGTGTGTCTTTCAAACATGTCCTCATTTTTATTTAATTGTTTTAACTTTATTTATTTATTTAGGTTTTTTTTGCCTTGTAACTTGCATACCTGTATGAAATAATACGTACCCATACCGCAACACAAGGAATGGTGTGGCGTGTCATCTGCATGTTACAATTTAAAATTTTTTTTTTGGGGGGGGGGGGGGGGGCTGGGGGTTAACAGATTTATATCTGATCTTGTGTAGCTGTAAATATGTGCATACTATAAATAAATAATAAATAAAAAAAATAAAATTGCATTTCCACAACGTGGCATAATACACCTGTAATGGAGACAATGTTGATGATGTAAGGGATGGAGATGGTGAGAGGGATTGGTGAGGGATGGAGATGATGAGAGGGATGGAGACAATGTGAGGGATGGAGATGATGAGAGGTATTGGTGAGGGATGGAGACAATGTTGATGATGTAAGGGATGAAGACGATATTGATGATGAGAGGGATGGAGACGTCTCCATCCCTCCCGTTTCCATCCCTTCCATCGTCTCCATCCCTTACAAAAATTGCGGTGTAATTTTCAATCTTTTGTTTATAAGGCAGCTGCCCCCCCCCCCCCACCTCTCCCTCTCCATCTTGGGGTATGTAATAAGCAACAGAGGCAAAGATCTATGAGCAAAATCAATTTTTATATATATTTTTTTTTGGGGGGGGGGAGGGGGGGGGGGGGCTGGGGGTTAACAGATTTATATCTCATATATTGTGTACCTGTATAAATATGTATACTATAAATAATTAATATACAAAAAAAAACAAATTTGCATTACCACAACGTGGCATAAAATTAATACAAGATTACACCTGCTTATCATTTGTTATTATGAGTCTGCTCAATGTCATATTGTTGGAATTTGTATCTTGGAGTCGTAAACAAATAATGTTTATTGCTATTATGTGTGTTTGTCAAACATGTCCTCATTTTTATTTAATTGTTTAAACTTTATTTATTTATTAAGTTTTTTTTTGCCTTGTAACTTGCATATGAAATAATACGTACATGTACCTATACCACAACACAAGGAATGGTGTGGCGTCTCCACCCCTCACCAATCGAATCCCTCTCATCATCTCCATCCCTCTCATCATCTCCATCCCTCACATTGTCTCCAACCCTCTCATCATCTCCATCCCTCACATTGTCTCCAACCCTCTCATCATCTCCATCCCTCTCATCATCTCCACCCCTCACCAATCCCTCTCATCATCTCCATCCCTCACATTGTCTCCAACCCTCTCATCATCTCCATCCCTCACATTGTCTCCAACCCTCCCATCGTCTCCATCTCTCCTATTGTCTCTATCCCTCTCATCATCTCCATCCCTGACATCGTCTCCAACCCTCTCATCATCTCCATCCCTCTCATCATCTCCATCCCTCTCATCATCTCCACCCCTCACCAATCTCTCTCATCATCTCCATCCCTCTCATCATCTCCATCCCTCACATTGTCTCCATCCCTCTCATCATCTCCACCCCTCACCAATCCCTCTCATCATCTCCATCCCTCACATTGTCTCCATCCCTCTCATCATCTCCATCCCTCACATTGTCTCCAACCCTCTCATCATCTCCATCCCTCACATTGTCTCCAACCCTCTCATCATCTCCATCCCTCACATTGTCTCCAACCCTCCCATCGTATCCACCTCTCCCATTGTCTCTATCCCTCTCATCATCTCCATCCCTCACCAATCCCTCTCATCATCTCCATCCCTCACATTGTCTCCAACCCTCTCATCATCTCCATCCCTCTCATCATCTCCACCCCTCACCAACCCCTCTCACCGTTTACGTAGGCCCACATCTTGACGGTCATCATTGTGGCTGCAGCGAGGTTGATAGCAAATAAACAAGTCTGAACAAAGGCTTCTACGGGAATTTGTAGCTTTAATTCCGTGAAAACTGTGGAATAACGACACAGATAAAAGAACCTAAATAAAAGTACATCATAGCATCATCAATATAGCAATAACACGGTTTCTTTGAGAAACTCATAAAATAATGTGCATCGTGTCATGATCTTCCTAACCTATTAAAATAACCCCAGTCACTATTCTAGTCCATCTGCATCATGGCTTTACATAAATACAAACTCACACTACAAGTGTCTCAACTAGACTTCACTATAGCTTCTTTAAACAATTAACTAGACAATAATAAATTCCAAATCTCTACGTATATAGTTCTTTAGCACTCTCATAATATATCAAAGTATTTAGTAGTATCATCACTGTTATCATTGTTTTTTTTTTTAATACAAGGTAAAATGTACATACATATTAAACCAGCATGGGCTGGTATAAAGTAAATAAAACATCAACATCTCGCAGTATTAAGTTCAAAACACACACACTAATTTCTACTTTTTATTTTGACAATTCTTAAAATACATTGAATATACAACAAAACTAACCTCTTTGCCTGACTTAATGACAACATTATGACTTGAATTGCCTTGATGCTCAAAAAGGGGATCCTGGCTTGAACCTCGACACAATGCATGTTCATGTAGACTTCTGAGTGTTTAATATCAAGTGAACAGCAATAGATGGCGCTATACTAGGCACATTGTTTAAAGGTAAAGACCAGTATTGGAAACGCCCCAATTTCAAAAAATGAAATGGAAGCTCTCATTACCAATCATGTGAAAGAATACGTTTTGACTAATACATGATGATAAACAAAATTATGTATTCATGTCAGGCATCAAGACAATAGTACAAGAAACGAATGACTTGGGTGATAAAGTAATTTCAAATGCATTGTCACAACCCCCACCCCCCCCCCCCCCCCCAAAAAAAAAAAAATGATCTACAAAATCTGCTGAAATGACATAATATTACCAGGGATATGTGAGTTTATATTACCATGTTTTTCCTCATTTTTTTGTAGTGATACTTAGATCTATTTCTGTATTTGTTCTTAACAAAAATAAAGCATAAAGGCCTACACCTTGACAGTCATCATCAATATTAATTATTCACACACCGCCCCTAAAAACAATCGTGTATTATGCCACACAGTGGTTTAATGCAACTTTGTTTTTTTATTTATTACCGTAATTATTTATACATATTTATACAGGTACACAAGATCAGATATTTAAAAAAAAAATATATATATAAAAAATTGATTTTGCTCATACATCTTTGCCTCTGTTGCTGATTAC